ACCGGCTCTTTCTTTTTCTGATAGTTTGTCAACTGCTGATAAACCTTTTGGTTTGGAACATTCTGATATTTGGGGTCCTTCTCCTGTTGCTTCTCTGAGTGGTTTTCGGTATTTTGTTATTTTTGTTGATGATTTTTCTCGTTTTACCTGGATCTATTTTCTCAAAAATCGTTCTGAGTTGTCCAGCATATATGTTCAATTTGCTAACATGATTCTTACCCAATTTTCTTGTCCTATAAAGGTCTTGCGTACTGATAATGCTCCTGAGTACAAAGATTCTACTTTTTTGAAATTTCTTTCTGATCATGGCACCTTAGTTCAGCGTTCGTGTCCATATACTTCCCAACAAAATGGACGAGCTGAACGTAAACACCATCACATTCTTGATACTGTCCGGGCTCTTCTTCTTTCTGCTCAGTGTCCTGATCGTTTTTGGGGTGAGGCAGCCTTGACTGCTGTTTATGCTATCAATCGGTTGCCCTCATCAGTCATTAGTGATGTCAGTCCTTTTGAGAGGTTGTACGGTCAGTCTCCTAATTATACTCAGTTACGTCCTTTTGGTTGTGTTTGCTTTGTTCTTCTTCCGTCCCATGAGCGAACCAAATTAGAACCCCGAGCTCATCTGTGTTGTTTTTTGGGTTATGGGGTAGAACACAAAGGATTTAGGTGTTGGGATCCGATTTCTAATCGGTTGCGTATTTCGCGTTGGGAGCATACTACCTTTTCCTCCTTGTCTAAGTTCCATATTCCATTTGATTCGGCGTCTCCTTTATTCATGTCTATTACTTCAGATCTTTTTCCAGATACAGATATAGGTTCTGACTCACAGCTCATTGACACGCCTGTCATGCCTCCATCTTCTGAAGTGGTTCCACCTGTGCATCCTGAACCGACAGTTCGTACTGAGCCCTCTTCTCATTCTGCACCTTTGCCAGCTATTGATCAGCGACGGTCGACTCGTGTAAGTCATCCCCCTTCTCACTTACTTGACTATCATTGTTATTCGGCCATTCTATCTCATCATGAGCCTCGGTCTTTTCGTGAGGCAAATGCTGATCCATTGTGGCAAAAAGCTATGACTGAGGAATTACAGGCCTTAGAAAAGACTCATACTTGGGATTTTGTGGATTTACCTGCTGGCAAGACTCCCATCGGATGTAAGTGGGTGTATAAGATCAAGACAAATTCAGATGGATCTATTGAGCGCTACAAAGCTTGGTTGGTTGCTAAGGGTTACTCCCAGGAGTATGGCATAGAATATGAAGAGACCTTTGCACCGGTTGCTCGTCTTACTACTGTCCGGTGTTTACTTGCAGTTGCTGCTGTTCGTCGATGGTCTCTTCTACAGTTAGATGTCAAGAATGCCTTCTTACACGGTGCCTTGTCTGAGGAGGTTTACATGACTCCTCCTCCTGGATCATTGTCATCTGGGAAAGTTTGTCGTCTACGTCGAGCTTTGTATGGCTTGAAACAAGCGTCTCGTGCTTGGTATGCCACGTTCAGTTCTGCATTGTTTCAGTTTGGTTTCACTACGAGTGATCACGATTCTGCTTTATTTCTTCGGCGCTCCTCCTCCGGGATCATTATTTTGCTACTCTATGTTGACGATATGATCATCACGGGGGATTATATTACCGGTATTTTCGATTTGCAGGATTATCTTCGTCAGCATTTTGAGATGAAGAGTTTGGGCCAGCTTCGCTATTTTTTGGGTCTTGAGATCTCTGATTCGTCAGATGGATTCTATTTGTCTCAAGCCAAGTATGCCTCTGATCTTCTTGCTCGGGCCGGTCTCACTGATTGTCAGACAGCTTCCACTCCTCTTGATTATGATGTTCGTCTTACTCCACTTGATGGCTCTCTTCTTGAGGATCCTACATTATATCGTCAGCTTGTTGGGAGTTTGATATACTTGACTGTCACTCGGCCTGATATATCTCATGTTGTTCATATTGTGAGTCAGTTTATGGCTGCTCCGAGAACCACACATCATTCTGCTGTGTTGCACATCCTTCGCTATGTGAAGGGCACTCTATTGCATGGTTTACACTTCTCGGCCCATTCTTCTTTGACGCTTAGCGGTTATTCTGATGCAGATTGGGCTGGAGATCCTACTGATCGTCGTTCTATTACTGGGTACCGCTTCTTTCTTGGTGATTCACTTGTCTCTTGGCGCAGTAAGAAGCAAACATTGGTTTCCAGATCGAGTGCTGAGTCTGAGTATCGTGCTCTTGCTGATTCCACCTCAGAGTTATTATGGCTACGTCGACTACTTGCTGATCTTGGTGCACCTCAGTCGGTGTCTACTGCTTTACATTGTGATAGTCAGAGTGCTATAAAGATGTCTCATAATGATACATTTCATGAGCGCACTAAGCATATTGAGATTGACTGTCACTTCATTCGACAACATGTTGCACATGGGACTGTGAAGCTTGTTTCCGTCTCCTCTATAGATCAACCAGCGGATGTCTTCACGAAGTCTCTCCTTCCCGGTCGCTTTTGTTTACTTCTTAGCAAACTCAAGTTGATCTTCACTATACCACCTTGAGTTTGAGGGGGGGTGTTAGTTATGTTAAATGGTTTCTTGTACAATAAGTTAGGTTTAGGCCTTCTATGTATCTATATATATGTGTATATGTCTTTGTGAATAATACAGAACATATTTTTCCCACTTTCTTACAACTCGAATTCTAAGAAAATTAATTCTAACGCATCAGAAACTACAGTTAAAATTAAGAACTTAATGTTTAAAAATCACAATCTTTAAGACGACTTACACGATCTACGGTATCATATGAACGGTTATGTTCTCCGTCTAACTTATCGTCCTCGCACCTCGAAGCTGGCCGCGTCACGCCGTGTATTGTCGCGGTCTTGCGCCTCGTCGCGTGCTGGTGACCTCATGTCGTGTGGGGCTGCCTTGTGGTCGTGGTCGTGGTCATGAGGGGCTGGATCCGGTTGTCTCGATTGTTCGGGGTTGTGTGTGGTGGTCTCAAGATCAGATGAACCGACAAACTTTGCGTCTTATGTTGTATAACCGATCACCATTCGGAGTTTTCTTAATGGACTCGTCGGATCTTACAAAACTCACTCGGTTCGCACGTTTTTCCCTATTTCTTATTTTCTCGATTTTTGCCGATTTGTTTGCTCAAGATTTCTGAGTTTTTGCATGTGAATATCGTGTAAGGAGACTATGACACTTGATGTACTTGTATGGTAAAATAAGGACCCTAAAGTGGTGTTAAATAAGGTCTACCCAAGTGGGAACACAATTCTAAGCCTTGATCTACCTACTCTATTCAAATTTGAATAATATTCTATTGCACTAAAGGAATATTATTAAATTTTCAATTAGACCTGAATATATAATTCTTCTCCCACCCGATTGTTCGATTGTCATCCTCATGTTTAAGATATAACGTATATTGATTAATTTAATTACTGATAACATAATTAATCAACTTCTTTATCCAAAATTAGTACCACTCAATTATTTATTATTATGTCAAATTCAACTCGTCTGCAGGGCTTGACATAATGATTCTTCTTGAACTCATTTTGGGGACGTCATCAATCCAGCGCACCAGGACACGGTTTTATTATTATGTAAATAAATAATAAATACACAACCTTCATGCTTTTATTAGAACATAATTGTAATGGGAATTTTTGGACTGTGAAGAGGGGTGAAATTTTTGGACTGTGATTTTTTTTTTTTTTTT